ATATAGATATTAAAAAGCATGGGGGAGAGGACAGAACCCTGAGGCACCCCATAAGTGAGAGCCCAGGGGTCTGAACACTCATCCCCCACCACCACTTTCTGGACACGGCCCAGGAGGAAGGAGCGGAACCACTGTATGACAGTGCCCCCAGCTCCCAGCCCCTCTAGACGGTCAAGAAGGATGTTATGGTCGATGGTGTCAAAGGCCGCTGAGAGATCCAGCAGAACTAGGAAACAGCTCTCACCTTTGTCCCTAGCCCGCCGGAGATCATCAACCAGCGTGACCAAGGCAGTTTCAGTCCCATGGTGAGGCCTGAATCACGATTGGAAGGGATCCAAATGGTCCGTTTCCTCCAGGCGTGCTTGGAGTTGTTCAGCAACCACCCGCTCAATCACCTTGCCCAAGAATGGCAGATTTGAGACTGGGCGATAGTTGGCCAAATTGGCTGGGTCTAACGATGTTTTTTTAAGAAGCGGTTTAATGACCGCCTCTTTCAGGTAATAGATTGGAATTGATCCCATGTAACAGGACCAGACAGAACTCTAGTACTCTCCTGCCCTGGCCCTGCTCCCACGGTGGAGTCTACCTACTTCTGAATCTGAGCGATTTTATCTGCAAAAAACTTTGCAAAAGCATTGCAGGAGATCTTGGGGTCCCTACCAGGCCCCGATGGTGCAAGTGGTTCTGATAGATTGCGAACCACCTGAAAAAGTCTCCTGCTCCTGTTTTGTGCAGATGCAATGGAGGCGGCGAAGAAGGCCCTCTTCGCCGTCGCCATTGCCACTTGGTAGGCTCGACGTTTAGCTCTAACCCGTGTCCGGTCTGATTCAGAATGAGTTTTCCACCACCGGCGCTCTAGCCGTCTCAACGATTGTTTCATCACCCTCAGCTCCGGGGAGAACCACGGGGCTGTCCGGGCTCCATGCAATCGGAGAGGGCGCTTCGGAGCCAGACAGTCAATAGCCCTGGTTAACTCCGCATTCCAGCGTGCCACCAGGGAATCAGCTGAAAGGCCATCAACTTGGGATAAAGCATCCCCTACCACTCTCTGGAAGCCAATTGGATCCATTAAGTGGCGGGGGCGGACCATCCAAATTGGTCCCACCTCCCTGCAGAGGGGATGGGTCGCGGAGAAGTCCAGTTGCACCAGGAAGTGATCTGACCATGGCACTTCTTTTGTTTCGCTTTTAGTTAGTGTCAGATCACCAACATCCATAGAGGTGAACACCAAGTCTAAGGCATGTCCACGGCTATGAGTTGGGCCAAACTTATTCAGGGAGAGCCCCATGGAGGCCATGCTTTCCACGAAGTCCCGAGCGGCCCCTTGTAAGGTCGTGTCGGCATGGATGTTAAAATCCCCCAGGACAACCAAGCTAGGTGTCTCCAGGAGCATATCTGCCACGACCTGAAGCAGCTCGGGCAGGGAATCCTTGGTGCAGCGGGGAGGTCGGTACACCAGTAGGAATCCTGTACTGCCCCTATTGCCCAACTTCCAGAACATGCACTCAGAAAACTGGGTCTTCCCAATAGGACGCCTGGTGCAGACTAATGACTTCCTAAAAATCACTGCAACCCCCCTCCCCGCCCACATGACCTGGGTTGCTGTGCGTAAGAGAAACCTGGTGGGCAAGCAGCGGCAAGGACAGGCCCATCTGCTTCATCCAACCAGGTCTCTGTCACACATGCCAGGTCAAATCCTCCATCCACAATCAGGTCGTGGATGGCAGAGGTTTTATTCATCATTGACCTGGCATTGCACAGCAACACTTTCAGGTCATGTGGGTTTCCCTTGCTGATTCCAGTATCCTTCCGGTCAGGACCAGACCTGGAGGCAGGGATAGTCCTCAAACAACGACTAACCTGCCTCCTCGGTAATGACATGGTCTGGTCTTAGCATAACTCCTCCTCCTGCCCGTGATCACTGAGATTGGGTGTCCCAATACATCCCCCCCTGTGGAACCTGCCCCACCCAATCTATTGGCTGAGGTCCACTCCCAGGCAGCCATGACCCTTCCCCTTAAAAAGCGAAATACAAACTATATAATAATTTAACAGAATAATAATAATAATAAAACAAAACAAAACAGAACAAAACAAAACAAAACAAAACAAAGCAAGAAAGAATAGCGCTGACTAAATGCTTATCCCACCCCAAGCAAAAATAAAATAATGAAATAATAAATATTATAAAAAGCAACAACCACCATTTAAGGTGCTGCAAATTAAAAGCAATTAAAACATTTAAAACCATTTTGTCCATTGCTGCCGGTAGCTGCTCAGGCCTCTAAACTGTAGTGGTAGTGCAGGCCCCGCCCCCTAGGCCGGATGGAGTTGGCAGGAGAGGGAGCGGTCCTCCCAACACTCACGCGAGCAGCAACAGCATTCTTTTTAACATTTCTGCTAAAGCCAATTAATTTCATTTCAACATTTTTCTGATACTCATTAATTTTACAATACTTTTCTAAATAATTTTTTAAAACTTTCTTTCAATCTTCATCCATCATCTCTTCTCCTGGTCTCGGGTTTTGTCCGTCCTTTCTATCCCATCCATCTAGTCCATCAACCTGGTGACCTTATATCCGAGGCTCTTAGATCTTTTCCATGTCCCTTCCGCAGGTCTTCTTCATGTTTATACCTGTACTTTACTTTGTCTTCTGCTCCTTTCACTCTGGGAGACTCCAACTTGACAATATTTTTCTCCCTTCTCGACAAGTCAGGCCCTTTTCCATAGTCAACACTGAAATCCATGTGATATTTAAAGGCATGTTTCAAGGCCCCTCCAAAATTAGGGGCCCCCACAGCTCCGAGCTCCCCCCGGCCTAAAGCCAGACTTGAAAAATCAAAACATCTCTGCATAGGGGGGTCCATCCAGCCCCCCATCTCCAAACCAAGCAGATCTCCGTCTCTCCAAATCTGACTTTTTCCAGGTTCATTCATCAAATCCAACGACTCATGTTCCTGCTGGGCCACAGCTCCCTCCATCTCTGCCACCCGAGGTCCAGCAACAGCCTCCTCCCTCATCTCATCTGTCAAAGCACATTCCTGGATTAATTCCTGAGTGGGTTCTATATAGATACCCACTGCCTGTCCAAAATTTCCTATCGCAGCTGTCATCATATCCATTTTCTCATGTAACTATTCCAATAAAGCACTTGTCTTGCAAAAGGCAAGCACCAGAGCCTCTGAGCACATTCTTGTTCAAGGTCGAAGTCTGGTCCCACGATCTTAATCTTTTACAGATGCAAAACTCCCCAGTTCGACTTTAAAAACAGTTTCACAAGCTCCCTCTAGGGGAAACAATTTCTATTTGTATCTATCTTTTTTTCCTTTTTTTTTTAAAGGCAGATTTAGCAACAAAGTTTTCCTTTTTCAAATATTTTGTCAATATTTTGTTCCTTTTAAAGGCGAAAGGGAACAATGGAATCAATATTTTTCTGTTCTTTTAACTATCTGTCAAAAACGCTTGTCCATAGTCAATGGGCTTCTCCAAAACGTCTGTCTTGACACCCCGCTCCCAGGTTCAAGACGGTGGAAAGTTACCTTTCTTTACTCTCTCTTCTGCAGGTTTAAACAGTCTAAAAAAGGTTCCCCCCTCTTCTCCTGCTTCCAAGGGGGGTTCAATAATTTTAAATGATGAAAATGGTGATGTCCATATGTAGAGTCATCTCTTGTGTCGTTGGAAAAGCGTGTTTGTGATGACCAGCTTGTTCTCTTGACAGAACTCTATTAGCCTTTGCCCTGCTTCATTTTGATCTCCAAGGCCAAACTTCCCAGTTGTTCCTTTTATCTCTTGATTCCCTACTTTAGCATTCCAATCCCCTATAATGAGAAGAACATCCTTCTTTGGTATCACTTTTATAAGGTGTTGTAAGTCTTCATAGAATTGGTCAATTTCAGCTTCTTCAGCACCAGTAGTTGGTGCATAAACTTGGATTACTGTGATGTTAAAAGGTCTGCCTTGGATTCGTATCGAGATCATTCTATCATTTTTGAGATTGCATCCCAGTACAGCTTTCACCACTCTTTTGTTGACTATGAGGGCCACTCCATTTCTTTTACGGGTTTCTTGCCCACAGTAGTAGATGTGATGGTCATCCGAACTGAATTCGCCCATTCCCGTCCACTTTAGCTCACTGATGCCCAGGATGTCAATATTTATTCTTGCCATCTCATTTTTGACCACATCCAACTTACCCAGGTTCATGGTTCTTACATTCCAGGTCCCTATGCAATATTTTTCTTTACAGCATTGGACTTTCCTTTCGCTTCCATGCATATCCACAACTGAGCGTCCTTTCGGCTTTGGCCCAGCCACTTCATCAGCTCTGAATCTACTTGTACTTGTCCTCCGGTCTTCCTCAGTAGCATGTTGGATGCCTTCCGACCTGAGGGGCTCATCTTCCAGCGTCATAACTTTTATATACTTGTTGACTTTGTCCATGGAGTTTTCTTGGCAGGGATACTGGAGTGGCTTGCCGGTTCCTGCTCCAGGTGGATCACGTTTGGTCCAAACTCTCCACTATGACCTGTCCATCTTGGGTGCCCTGCTTGGCATAGTTCATAGCTTCTCTGAGTTCTTCAAGCCCCTTCGCCACGGCAAGGCAGGGATCCATGAAGGGGAATTCTAACAGTAGATTCATCCAAAGGCCAAATGGTGGGTGACTGACAGCATGTGCCCCTAAACTGTAGTTCTAACTTGGAGGTAGACAGTGGCTTCGGTTGAAGAGAGTCCTTTCTTTATTTTTATTACTGTAATTAATTAATATACTAATACTATTAATTACATTCCCTCCAAGGAGCTCCAGGGGGTTTCTGTCTTCTCCTCCTCACCCACAGCCAGCTGCATTTCTGAGTGAGGGATCTGGAACCCTGCTCTCTCCCCAGGTCACAGCCAGATCCTTGATCCACAGTGGTTCTCGTCTTTATAAAAAGCCTCCACCTAAAGGAGCAACGGGTTTGTTGCCTGGGATCCTGTAAGGCAGGGAAGTGATTTTGCCGCAATGGAGCGTGGACCCGTGTGTGAATCCAGTCCCAGCAAAACATCTTTGGGTGCCATTGCAAAGTCCCGTAGACTCTCCCACTCGGTCTGAGTTAATTCCGTAACAATCTGAAGTAACCATCTGGGTGGCAATCTGTCCACAAGCGGCAGGACTGAGAGCCCTCCGTGAACTCATTCTCTCTCTCTCTCTCTCTCTGCCCCACTTTTAGCAAATACAGATCTTTGGGAATATCCAGTACCTCCTTCAAGATCACCCTAGTCGTGTGCCTAACAAGTAAGCAGATCACTGTGTTATGGGGTTTGGGTTTGGGTTTGGGGCAGCTGCTACAAGGAAGGTGCGCAGTCAGATGTGAAACATGCCAATTCCCTCTTGAGCTGAAGGGAGCCTGAATTTGACTTACCCCAACCTGAATGAGCAAGGGACACGGGTGGCGCTGTGGGTTAAACCACTGAGCCTCTTGGGCTTGCCGATCAGAAGGTTGGCGGTTCAAATTCCTGCGACAGGGTGAGCTCCTGTTGCTCGAAAGCACGTCAAAGTGCAAGTAGATAAATAGGTCCCACTCCGGTGGGAAGGTAAATGGCGTTTCCGTGTGCTGCTCTGGTTCGACCAGAAGCAGCTTAGTCATGCTGGCCACATGACCCGGAAGCTGTACGCCGGCTCCCTCGGCCAATAAAGGGAAGGGCAACCTTTCTAAACTCTTTGCTTTCTCCATGCCATCTCTTCCTCCCCACAGTGAGCCTGACCCACGCCTACCCCAAGCTGGCCCCCAACCAACCCCCCAGGCAGCTCCTCTCCCCACCGCTCCTGCTCTCCATCATCGTCAATGTCCTCTTCACCTTCACCATCCAGGTCTTCGCCTTCCTGTATGTGAAGCAGCAGCCCTGGTACTCTGTCCTGCGCAGCCACAGGTGAGGTCCCCATCCAAAGAGCGCACCTCCCAGGGAGAGGCTTAGAGGTGGGCTGGGGTGGGGGGCCAGGGGGTGCCATTTCCCTCTTGCTGGTGTCTAAGAATAGAGGCTCCCCTTATTCCCAGAGGCAGCAGTGGGAGGGTGGGGGCAAATTTGAAGCTCACCCAGGCTTCCTCTGCTCATGGAGAATACCCCCAATTTGCTCAAGGGGAAGTCATACGAGATCCTCTCTCGGTGGAGCCTTCCTTCTGATCTGTTTGTGGGGAGCTTAGATGCCTCATCCTTTTGAGCTGCAAAGTATCTCCTTAAAAGAAAGAATTGGGAGGTGGTGCTGGGTGCTGAAGGGGCAACAGGGTTTAGTGAGCAGGAAGAACCTGTGACAGGGGACAGTTCAGACTCTGAGGCTAGAGCAGAGGAGTGGGTTCAAGAGTCTGCTGCAGAATCCAGAGAGGCTGTGATATGTGATCCATGAGAGGCAGTCAAGTACAACGTTCATTCTAATGCTAGAGAAGACATGCAGGGGAATGTTTGGTCCAGCCAGTTGAAACTTCCTGTTCCTCCTGGCTGGAGCATCCTTGCTTTGCATGTGACTAAAGGTGGGCTTCAGCAAACCTGTCCAGGTAACAAAAGGACGAATCACCTCTGTCCTTTCGATTCCCATCTTTGTTTGACCAGCTTCTAGCTAGGACTGCTCTGCTAGCTGTCAGCTAGCAGAAGCACTGGGATTATTCCCCCATATGGGGTAGATCCACATGTACATATTTGTAAATAAGTCTGCCTTCAGGAATCCAACTGTGAACTGATGTGAGTAAACGTCTTTCATCATCTTTGAATAAGACTGTGGCATCTTTATACTTTTAAGAGGGATTCAAGGGAAGTTACCAGGGATGTACAATTCAATCTGAGACACACTGAATTGTATGTTGGAGGGGGAGATTTCCAGCTGGTGGCAGAGGACAGAGTGACTCCAGGAGACATAGGTGTAAAAACCCAAACTAAAACGAAGACTTTATTACAAAATAATAAACACAAACTCTGGTGGGTGTTATTCCTGCAGGCAGGCTACAAAACTCAGCTTTTTTCCTTTATAGCAACGGCCAGCTGCAGCCAATTAATCCCAGAAACTTCTTAAAGGTATACACACATGTTTCTGTGCCGAATGTCCCCTAACACCCCCTCTCATTCAAACAGAAACAGAAACAGTACTTTAAACATATACAGACATATTTACACATCACACACAACAATTCCTAATTTTGTCACCAGTTGTGCATGTTTTTCAAAAGTTAGTGCTTTTGTAAATTTAGAAATTTTGTAATTTCTAAATGTTTGGATTTGTTTCTAAACTGCTCAGACCCAGCCAAAGTTATTACAGCTTGATTGTCTTCCCATATTTGAACTGGATAATCACATTGTATATCTAAATCCTTGAGGATCTGAACATAAAATTTTATTTCATTACACAACTCTGATAAAGCACAGTATTCAGCCTCTGTTGAAGATGTGGCCACGATACCTTGCTTTTTGGACTTCCAACCGATCAAGGAATCCCCAAACTGAAATACCATTCCAGAAATTGATTTTCTATCAGGCAGGTTGGCCCAATCGCTGTCAACGTAACACTGCAATTTTGTAGACCCTGAAGATGGTAGTCTTAAACAATAATCAAGTGTTTGCTTTAAATACCGGAAAATACGTTTTAAACCTTTCCAGGCATTTTCTGTGGGACAGCTTACTAGTCTGCTCAGTATTCCAATTGCATAACTCAAATCTGGTCTACTCCACAATGAAATGTATAGTAAACTTCCAACTATTGAATGGTACATTTCAGGACTTACAGGTTCTGTGCATTCTCCTTCATCCTTGAAAAAACCTATTTCCATTGGGGTTTTTACTCCCTTGCAGTTTTGCATATTGTTTCTTTCAAGTAACTCCATTATTTTGTCTTTTTGACTCAACAAAAAAACTTCCATCGTTTGTTCTTTGAATTTCTAGACCGAGATAATTTTTTACTGGACCCAAATCTCTTACTTTAAATTCCTTTCTTAGTTGTTCTGCAAACTTTTCCACTTGCTTGTCACCTTTTGTAGAGTAAAGCAAATCATCAACATTAGACAGACATAATTCTTGTTTATCACCCTTTCCTTTAGTGTACAAGCAGTTATCAGCTAAGCTTCTTTTAAAGCCAAGATTTTTTAAAGCATTATCAAGACACTCGTTCCAATTTCTAGCTAACTGTTTGAGCCCATAAATTGCTTTGTTCAGCCTATATACAGAATTCTGTTCGCCTGCCTCAAAACCTGGCACTTGGAAAAAAAGGCCCTTACTGTGGGGACTTTCAGATGCCTTTGCTGAACAGCATAGGCCTTCACAAACAAAACTAGTTTTCTCCTTGCAGTGGCAGTCATGTTATTCTAGGAGTGCAGGGAGAGGCTCCCTTTCAGCTGGTATATCAACTGAGGACCTGAGCTGTGCCTTTCAAAACACTCCCACAGCTTTCGACTGATCTGTGAGGCGGGGTGAGGCAGCTGCTCTCGCCATTTTATAGATTTATGGTCCTTTTATTGTTTTACTTTATTGTTTTACTGCCCTATCCCGGATGCCTTCCCACTGAGCTTGGAGGGCGACACGGCCCAGAAAGGCGCCGCTGACGCCGCCACGGCCTCCACCGCCACAGCAAAGGAGCTCAGCAAATTGGTCTCAATTACCTGCCTACCTTGGAAGTAGTCCCGCGGAGAACCCTCCTGCAACACTCGACGGAGCCAATGAACCGTGGTGAGATTTTTACCAACTTGACCTTTACAAGATAAATAATGGTGATGACCAGGAGTGGCGGTAGAACACCAGGCTTTTATCGGAGTGATCTAAGACCTCTATCTAAAAGAGCTACCCTAAAGTGAGCTCAAACAAAAAGCACTCGGCCCTTTAAGAATGGGGGTAAAGTCAAGCCGAGTGAGAATCAGCAGGAAACTGAAACTTCTCCCTCCTGCACTGAAGGGCCGGCTGTGCAGAGAGAGGATTGTGTAGAAGAATGCCACAACAAAGGTCCAATAAAGCCCAAAGTAAATCCAAACATAACTGGTACAGTCACCGAAGTACTCCCAAAACAGAGACTTAAATCCCAAGCTTCTCCTGAACCATCCCGAGTCCGAGAAGTGGAAGAACTGATGTTAAAACAAATTGCAGAGATGTCTTCGGGAAACCCTAAAACATCAAGAGACTCCTGCTTCCAACTTGAGACAAATGAGGATGAGGATTTATCAGTTATCAAATGGCTTGTGCTTTTAACTGAGGATATTGAAAATATAAAGTCTCATCTGGCCACCTGTACAAAAATCCTCACTATAATAATGCACACTTGCAAAACTCTCTGTAGGGAATCCAGCGGGGTGACTGTAGAATTGGAAAGTAATAACAACTTCCTTCCTACCACCTGCAAAAACAGATCACCAAGGAAGGCCAAGAGATCTTGTAGGGCTACTGCCTTGAAAAAGAGGCGCATAAGGGTAAAAAAGAGCAGAAATGTTAAAAATTTTAAGGCAGTGCGTTACAAAAAAATGGATTTTAAAAAGCTCTTTAATCTTCTCAAGAGTATCCCAATAACCGAGACCAGTGGGAACACTGAGAAACTTCTAACCAGGAAATCTTCTAAGCAAGAACATTCTATAAACCCTTGCCCTGACGCTGCGATGGATTGCTTGGAACCCTTAACACCTACCCCAACACCTAAGTCCAAGCAAGACATTTTGATCCAAGATCCATGGTCTTACATTCTATCTGTAGATGAAACCAATCCCTCTAAGAAGAGAAATCTGACAAATCTAACATATAAAAACTGGAATCTGGTGCTGTACCGAAACAAACTCGTTTTATCAAATTATCCTAAACCCCCAGGACTCCTGTCACAAGAAGAGCGTAAAGCCCATCTATTGAACCTTTTAAAGATCTATATGCCGGGTATACTTAATAACCCTACTGATTTGGCCCAAGTGGAATATCTATACTTCAACGGATTCCTTGCCAGAGCGGTGGTCTCATTCTATGAGGGAAGACTGGCAAAACTAGTGTACAAATGTAGAGAACATCTGGAGACGAGTGGTATAAGAATCTCAAGGTACTTTAAGAATGAAGCACCTCCAATTCCACTTATCCCCCATATTGTAAATTTGCCAAAAACTCAACATGAGATTGATCAACACGTTCTAGAATAACGTTTCCTAAACTCCTACCCACTCAAACCTCTCTTGTACCTGCGATACATTGACGATATTTTTATCATCTGGATACATGGTCAACAGACCCTGGACACCTTTCACCAGAAATTTAATGATTTTCACCCCACAATCAACCTTACAATGAATCAATCTATGCAAGAAATACATTTTTTGGACACTACTATAAAAATACAGGATGGGCGCATAGACACCACCTTATACGGTAAACCAACTGACCGACAAACATATCTACATGCCTCTAGCTACCATCCCAAACATACCAAACAGTCCATTGTATATAGCCAGGCACTACGTTACAGCCGCATCTGTTCCAATTCTACAGACAGAGACTCTCACCTAAGAGATCTACAGCAAACCTTTTTAGAACTAAAATACCCAGCAGATGAAGTTAGACAACAGATCAACAGAGCCAGACTGATACCCAGAGAGAACTTGCTGCAAGACAGACCCAAAAAAGAAAACAACAGAACACCTCTAGTCATCACATACAGCTCCCAAGTTAAAACAGTACAACGCATCATCAGAGATCTACAACCTCTCCTGGACAATGACAGTTCTCTTTCTCAAGCTCTGGGAGGAAGACCTTTCATTGCCTACAGACAGCCACCCCATCTTTTTTTTTTCCCATGCATAATTTTTATTAATTTACATAACAAAAGAAAATACAAAAATTCAACATCTTGTTTTCACAGATTTTTGTTTTGACTTCCTTCAGCCATTCCACAAATCTTTCGTATCAGTCTTATATGAAATTTCGCATTTCTT